GGTAAATGCTAGAGCATTTGCCAAGGTACAGGATAGTTCTAGAAAATAGGTGGGGCCACACCAGTCACATGACCTCGATGACGCAACAATATAATCCTGCAGGATACTAGTTTGATTTGAGTATGAAAACTCAATTTTTAGTGTTGTAAGTTTGCCAACTTTCTGCTGAGCCACTGGGGGAACATCTAGGTGCTAGTTATCATTGCTCTATTAGGTTTGATGTTTTGTTGCATTTGGAGATCAAGAATAATGATATTTTGGTTACACAATTGCAAAAAAAAAGCAAATTTTGAAGGGATGTGACAAACATTACCTGTTTGTGAATTTGGCAGCTGAGATATTTGGAGACACTGATCAAATGTGGAAAATTTTCAAAGATAAATTTTTAAATATTCATAACAAAAATATTCTTTATAGAAAGAAAAGGGTGGTTGGAAGCGAAGGGTATAAGAGGACATCAAAGAGGATATATATGAAAAAAGGTTGGCTGAAAGTGTAAAACTTAACAGTAAGAATGTCTTTAAGTACATTAAGGGTAAACAAAATGTTAGAATGGGAGTATGACCCTTGAGGGATGATAAAGGAAGATGTGTATCTGATGATAGTAGAGTTATTAAATTCTGTTTTTTCTTTAGTTTATACTAATGAAGATTTAAGCAGTATTCCTCATCTTGAACAGTTGATAGATGGAAACAAGGTCAGACAATATGATTTCATTAATTCTGAACTTGTTAAGAAAAAGTTGGGAAGTTTAAAGAATGATAAGTCTCCTGGGTCAAATAATATTTCTCTAAGGTTTTGAAGGAGGTTAAGGATTGGATATATGAGCCACTTGCTACTATTTTTTGTAAGTCCTTGAATAGTAGGCAGGTGTCAGAAGATTGAAAGTTGGTTAATGTTACTCCACTTTTCAAAGGAAGTGATAAAACTTGTCCCAGTAATCATAGGCCTATTAGTATTGTATAAGTTGTGGTAAAAGTTTGGAAAGTCTAATAAAAGATGCTTTACAAAATCATTTAACAAAGTTTAGAACTTTATTGGATAGTCAACATGGTTTTGCCAAGGGAAAAAATTGCCTTACAAATCTTTTGACATTTTTTGAAAAGGTTTCTACTTATGTAGATGAGGGTAAGAGTGTAGATTTGGTGCATTTGGATTTTCAGAAAGCATTAGACAAGGTACCACATACTTATCTCAAAGGAGGTGTAGGGAATAGATTAGCAAATTGTATAGAAAAGTGGCTGAATGAAAGAAAGCAGAGGGTTCTTATAAATGAAGTTTAGTCAAACTGGATAAATGTCATAAATGGGGTACCTCAGGGCTCAGTCTTATGACCTTTGCTCTTTTTGATTTACATCAATGACATAGCTGAAGGAATGGTCAATAAATTAAATTTATTGATGATATTAAGGTCTTGGATGTTGCTGGCTGTGAGGAGGATGCTGCTGCTTTACAAAGGGATTTATATCATTTGGTGAGTTGGGCAAATAAATGGCAAATGAGTTTTAATTATACTAAATGCAAGATAATGCAGGTTGGTTATTATAATTTGAAATATATGTATAATTTAGATGGTAATAACCTTAACAGTGTTATGAAAGAAAGAGATCTTGGGGTAGTGGCTGATCAGTCTCTTAAGCCATCCAAGAAGTGTGCTGTTGCTAGTGGTAGGGCAGATAGGATTTTAGGTTGCATCTACAAAAATATTGAATACAACTCTAAAGAGGTTATAATTTCATTCTATAGGAGTATTTTGTTCAGTCTTGGGTTCCATACCTTAGGAAGGACATTGATTTGTTGGAAAGGGTTCAGAGGAGAGTTACTAGAATGGTCCCTTAGCCGGAGGGGTTGTCATACAAGGAGAAGTTAATATATCTGAAATTGTTTACTCTTGAAAAAGGAGAGTTAGAGGGGATCTAATTATTGAGGTATTTAAGATTGTAGAAGGAATTGGTAGTGTTGATGCATAATATTTTTTCATACTTAACAGTGAGAATAGTAGGACTAGGGGATGCAAATGTTAATTTTGGCAGGATAGGAGTCATCTTCAGCTAAGATAGTTTTATTTTTCTAACAGGGTGGTTGGCCTTTGGAATGGATTACCTTTGGATGTTGTGGAGGCAGTAAACTTAAGTTACTTTAAGAAAAAGCTTGATAGATATATGAATGATAAAGATTGGCTTTAAGATTTTTTAAAATTTAGTTATTAATAGTTTTATTTTAGTTTAAAGGATGAGACAGCCTAGAAGGACCATTAGGTCACTTGTTGTTCCTAAACATTATGTTATGTAATTACCTTAACAATCATTTTTTTTTTAAGTTTGTTTATAATTTGGCTCAACTTACTGAATTACAATTGTATTTTTATGGTCTTCTGTTTAGAGTTATTAAACATAAATATACATGGAAAAACCTTTTATTAAATTTAACATTGCATTTGCTACTATTATTTATTTCCAAAGTTAAATGAAATACAAATCTCATTATTGCCTTTTTCTGAAAAAGTATTTCCCACATTTAATACTATAACTGTGAAACAAATGATTCAGAATCTTATAAAACACTTATATGACAAAGTCATAATTATAAACTTCAATAACATACCACATTTAATTCTCTTTCAGGAACTGACTGTAGCACATACTGGTGGCTGTATGCTCTTCTAATTCTGTTGCTTTTAGCTGTGATTATTAAAATATGTTTAACGTTTTGGAGTTCAAGGTATGAAGTTTATTAAAATCATGGAGCATAAGAATGTATGTTGAGAGATGTAAAAGAATGGATGTACACTCTTGACGGTTATAGATTTAACAAATAATGGCAGGCTTATTCATGTTCTTACCCATTTAATCAGATATTCTTCTGTAGGGCTGTAAATGTACTTACATTTATTCATCTTATTGAACAGTATACCATAAGATTGATGTAGTAGTGATATATTCACAATCTGCCAGTCTTTGTTTTTGTAAGATATGATAACTAATTTCTCTTATTCAAAAATTATATATATATATATTTGTGTGTGTGATTTGTTAGTTATAATATGTTTGTCTGAATTGCCACTTACAAGGAACCAGAATGCATTGTTCTTATCCAATAGTACTTTCTGAGCCTTACATGTTAATTGTAACTTGTGATTCTGTTGATTAATTTTACTAATTGAATTATTATGTAGGAGAAGTAAGTATGCAGTCCACAGTTAATAATATGTTATTGAATTATTACTTTATAACAGTGCTTGTATTTTATAACACTGAATTGTATGAACAGCCAATAGAGAGTATGAATTGAAAATGTTGTAATTCAACATTAACCTACATTTTAGAGTTACTTGTTAAAAATACAGCATATATAATCACCTAAGTATTAATTAACAACTCTTTTAACTAAATACTAATTACTAACTAGTTTTTATCCTATGTTTTGGTCATTAACCTGTTACTATCTTCAGGTAAGCCCCAAGAAGGATTATTTCCATGTTGATAGTGTCCATGTTTCTATCCTGAATCTTCTTGATGGAAATTGGTGTTTATCCATTTAACTTAGATGATCATATAGGCTTTCAACCATAGCAAAAAGTTGTATATAGATACCACAACCTTAATATAAGTACTTAATTACCTGGTATGGCACCAGCCTTTATTAAGAATTTAGAAATTCATAAAGCATAACTGTGAGAGGGAGAAATATTTGCATGCAGTAGTTAATTATTGTCACAGCTGTTTGTGTGAATTTAATAATCAGATTAATAACACATCATTCAGGTGGTTGACAAACTTTAGAGTGCCAGAAGATATTGTCTTATGTTGGATTACAAAGTTGTAGAAGTTGTACAAGTGCACTGTACAACATTGATCGAGCCCATAGTATGGAAATACAGATAGAATTTCTCACCAGCATTTGACAGCTAGCTCATTTGTAAAACATCTGGATCTTGGACATATATAATGCAACTGTGAAAGCTAAAGTTTTGTTGATGACAATGAGCCAGGCAAATAACAAAGATTCTGCATGCAAATTAATGTATACCAATATGACTGAAAAAAGGAATTGGTGAGTAGAGCAATTCAAAGATGTAGACCTTGCTTGGTGATTTCATGCCATGCCACAAAGTGAAGCATGACCTTCACAGACTGTGTACAGACACAATTGTTTAATCACTTAGTAGTATGAGAAGGAGTGCTATATCTACCCACCACTCACCCACCTACCCATCCTTGCAGAAAAGCTTGGTGTTTAAATTAGTGGTCCTGAAAACTCCAAGATTCAATATTTTATTAGTGTTAATCATATCAGGGAATTTCTTGCATTACAGCCAATTTGAGGAGATGTTTCTAATGGACACATCCATGAAGTAATGTATGGATAGTATAAGCAATATACTTCCTGTGCTTCAGAGGAAAAACCAACTACGTCAAGGGAAAATCCATTATCGATTTGTAGGTTCTCTGTTCATGAGAATAGTCCTGGATATCATTGGATTACCCCTTGAAAATAAAATTGGTAACCAGCATTTCTTGGTGGTAGCCAGTTACTTCACCAAATGGGCTGAAGCATATTCAGTGGGTAGTTTGCTTCAGAACACAAAGGGAGATCTATGATGATTTAGAAGTGAATTTTAATGGTCAGCTGTCACCATGTGCAGCCCTCCACCAGCTGTTGAGATGCTAGAATATCCACAAAAATATGTGGAATGGTTGTGATCTATGTTAGTCAATGTGCATGAGTTCTCAAATCAACAGATGGGAAAGTGCGTGAATGAGAGAAGAGAACATACAATATAACACAATGAAGAAGCGTCAGTTTGAACAAGAGACTGGGTGTGACTCTGATATACTCCAACAGTGTAAAAACCACTCGGATTTGGCATGACGTAATCCATCAAACTAAAAGACTTAGGTTTCACATGGAGTATGAAAACATGTTGAACACATTGTGGGAGAGAACAAGTCAATGTCATAGAAGATGATAAGAGTACCATCAAATACTAGTTGTATCTATTGGATAGAAGAGGCAACCTGAGTGAGTAATCTAGTTGCTACAGCTGGAAGTGAGAAAAACTGTCAACAGTTAGTAGGTTGTTCCATCCATAGATTAACCACTGAAAGGGCATTGTGATTCTTACTTTGTGTGCAACCTAATGGAAAGAATGCTGGATTATACAATATACATATATATATATATACAATTTTCAATTTCACAGGGTTTCTAAAAGATAGCTAGTATTAGTAGATTTAATTCCTAGAAAATCAGGTTTTCATGACTGGTGAATTTTAAAACATCTGGAGGCTGAAATGGCTTTGCAACACTTTGTAAACTATTTGTTGGATTTGTCGATTAGGAAATATCTTAGAGATAGCTAATAAATATTGAACATTAATAGCTGTCAAGCTATTGATAATAGCTGGAATGCCAAGAACAACATTGATACTGTTAAAAATATTTATAAATAAGACTTTTCTGAAGCTTTAATGAACATACGTCATACACACACATAGTTGTATTGTCATGAAGAACTTTTCATTCCAATTTTACATGTCAAACATCTATAATTGTGCTCTTATATACATATAAAACAAGCCTGCATACTGTAAGATAGACATACTTATTTATTGAAAATAAGACATTTGGGATTGAGAAAGTAAGAGTCTTCATACAGCAGACTCATCACACAGGTGCAATGTATATTATTGTGGGTTGACATAGACATAGATTTTTTTCACATGTGGAAAGCTGTCAGACATATGAAGTGAAGATATGCAAAATAAAAGAGAACTATATGAAATATTGTTTCTGTATGCCTTGCCACCACGATAATATTACTGATTTTACACTAGAAAAAAGTTAAGGCTGAAAGTATTGTTGCG